AACCGACTATGAATACCAGCCAATAATACTCGATTTTTCTTTAAAATTGTGATTTCAGTATTATGGTCAAAGTTTGATTATCAACAGAGATGATAACTGCAGAGAAAAAATTGTAATTTTTCGGCAATATATAGGATATTATAGCTTTACAAGTATGCATATTTATATATCCGGATGCATATTTATATATTATATGGAGCATTTATGTAATAAAAAATCATGAATTTAATATAATGTATTAGCTAAATATTTAATAGCAAATTCGTATCAATTGTCGATAATGTCAGCGTTCTTCAATTACCTCCGGGTCCTTGGGACCCTTTCTATACCACCGAAAATTTGCCCAGGGTTGACAGTCTTTAATAGTATCTCATCGGTGCTATTACGGAAGGTGTGTGCAGACCCCCTTAAGGATAGCCGTGTAAACATAGTAGATTTTCTTTCTCAGAATATATTTACGCAAAATACATAAGTTTACAAAATTATAGGAAAATAGGAGGGCAGACATGTACTAAATATGTAATATAAACCAAGAAAATTGCTTCCTTATTGAATTCGTTCTTTCATTCAAAATGGTAATTGCTGAAAAAAAAAAAAACATTTTGTAAATAATCCTTTCGTTAATCCTATTCACTTCATTATATTTTGGTCAGTGTCCTATTTCTCTTTTTTAAATAGCTTCTTTTTTTCGTTCCCGTCAGCTAATTTTCTTCCAATTGCTTTCTTCGGAAGCATTTGTAGCTTCATAATTTTTTCACGCATGTCAGTAGCATCTGCCTTTTTGTTGTTCGAATATTGAACAATGATCCTCTTTTTCTTTAAGAATGTATGATTTAACGTGAGACCTTTCTGTTAAAAATAAAAGTCATATTGTAATAAAATTGTTTAATAAAGATATAACAAAGGCAGTATAAAATGCTTTTACCTCAAAATCTATATTATTTGTCACCTCCACATATGCAAAGCCATGTAGTGTTTTATCTGATTTAGTTGGAATTCTGATGCTAGTTATTGTATTAACTTTAGTCATAAAGTGCCGCTTGATCTCATCCTCAGTTATACTGTAAATAGATATTAATATTATAGTGTAAGTGCGCGTGCATATGTGTGCATCACACGTACAAATACACACGCACGCACGCATCCACACACACATAAAATTACATAGCAATATTAAAGCTAAAAAGTCACTCACTTTCGTGGTAAATTGCCCACAAATAGGACATATCGCTTCTTCTTCTTCACTTCCCCTTTTTTCTGATTATCCAAAGGTTTGGAAACCTGTTTACCCTTATTTTGTACATCTTTTCTTCTTACTTCTGAAATCTTTTTTATTATATTTTCTTCATCCTCGTCCTCCTCGTCCTCCTCGTCCTCCTCGTCCTCCTCATCCTCCTCCTCGTCTTCATCGTCTTCATCGTCCTCCTCATCGTCTACATCCTCCTCATCATCTACATCCTCTTCATCTTCTACATCTTCTTCTATATCTCCTTTATCTTCTTCCTCTATTTCTGCTTCATCTTCTTCAGTTTCTTCATCTATATCACTTTCGTTATCAATCTCTGGTTTTTTATTATCAACAAATTCATTTTCTGCCTCGCTTTCGTCACTTTCATCCTCGTCACTTTCTTCCTCAATGTCACTGTCTTTATCTTTATCTTCATCTTCTTCGATGTCACTATCGTTTTCATCTTCCTCTTGTGGTTTAATTTTACTTTGTACGTGTTTCTTTCCTACTTTCACTTTAATCTCATCATTAACTTTCGGTTTATTCTTCATCAATGCATTTGCACAATGTTCTATTTTTATATTTTTCTTTCCTACTGTATCTAATTTCTCCGACTCATTTACAATTTCCCTCAATTTTCTGTTAAGTATACCTAATATTCTGTGTGCTCTCTTCGACAGCACTTCTCTGCTCTTGATTTCTGTTATCTTTTTTGTTATCTGTTCTGCAGTAAGAGTAATAGTGCTATAAGGACGTCTCTTCCTCGACCGACTGCTGCTCTTACCAATAGTCTCATTCTTAGGTTTAACAATTGTTAATTTTGCCATTTCTTTTGTATCTTTCTTCGTTTCTGATTTCACTATGTTACTTTGTTGTTCAGCTATCTTACTCCGTTCCTTTTTCTGCTTGTCTACTATCTTAAAGATTTGGGTTCTTCCTGTCAATGTCGGATTTCCATTTTGCTTAAAATCGGCAATTTTGGCTCTTTTAGGACTCTTATTGTTAAATTCATTAACATTCTCTTGTTTTTTATTCAATTTTACTTTGGAAACAGAAGTTTCGCTAAGCGACCGTTTCTTCCCTTTCTTGTGCATTACCTTAGTCTTCATTTGGAAATAGATTTCTGCAATGGCAAAAGAAAAATATGTGAAATAAGTGATAGATACAAATATATATGTATACAAATATTCTGAAAATATGATTAAAAACATTTTATAAAATTTCAACCTCTCGTCACAATTATAGGCCTGTTCTTTTTAGCTGAACTTTTGCACCAGTTCATCTTTCTTCCTTTTCTCTCCAGGACGAAAGAAGAGGAAGATGAACTGGTTGCAAAAGTTGAGCCAGAAAGAACAAGAAGGTATGGAACCTAATGTGAGATACATCATTTTAATCACATACTGGGGGTTATATCCAGATCAAGATATTTAAATTATATACATATAATACAGCTGTTTCACGTACAAGCACCTCACACGTTTAACGTATCTTTCCAGGAATGATTCAAAATGCTTTTCAGTTGAAATTGTGAAACAATAGCTAATAAAATTATTGCAAAATTACATTCCAGACAGAACAACGTGCACCGAATCGAATGATGAATTGGAATGAACGCAGCGAAGCGTGCTCTATGGGTACAACCTATAGCATGCTACTTCCGTTTTGAAAATCCGCTGATGGCAGGCACGACACCACCGCTCTCCCACAGAGCTGCGTTCTAAAATGTAACTACAGTAACCAAAGCTCTATAGTTTACGTAACGTCAACTATAGAGTTTTGGTTACTGTAGTTAAGCTTTGGAACGCATCCCAAACAGAACGCGGCAATTGCCGCGTGGCGGAAGTTAGCGCAGTAGCCAATCATTCTTTTGCTTTTATGGAAAAGCAATATACTGATTGGTTCTCGAGCCAATTACTGCCACGCGATAATGACTAGTTTACATCGTGTGTACACTAGTTACGGATATGCAATGTCGCGATGTTCGCTGCCAATTTTTTTAAATGGGCGCTACCCAGTACTTTTTCTTTTTTGTTTATAATTGTATATATTAACAATTGCAACAGCTATGCGTCGCCTTCGATTTTTTACATGCTCGATGTATTCATTTTATAATCCATTTTTATTAAAATGAATTAAAAGCTAGCAAAAATAAATGAGTTCTTCGTTAGTTTAAAGGGCGTAAAGCCAGCGAAGACACGCTCCATGAAAAGGAAGAAGGATGAACGCTGCTTCACGGACTGTGACGGAACGGTCTTCCACCCCACCAATCACCATGCGCTGCTTTGATTGTGGCTGCTGCGGTCCACTTGACGCTACAAACACTTCGAAGCGTTTGAACGACCAATCAGAACAAAGAATTTTACGAATTGACTAATGCTGGATTCATCCTGCATCCGATTTTCG